AAAAGTAAAAAACAACGATTAAGTTTAAAATCGGAGTTTGCAAGCTTATATATCGTAGATTTGCTCGGTATATCTAAACTTTTCCACTATTATCTAAAAAAGTATGAAAGGAACTTTGATTAGTCATTTTGTATTTACACTGTTAAGGGGAATTTTTCAGACTGCTAGTAATTTATAAATAAGCAATGGGTGTTAAACACGTAAGACTTTCACACATGTGTTTCTTACTAAACTTAAGCAAGCTGATGTGAAATAAGCAGTGTTGTAAGAACTGAATGGAATGTATTTAAATTTATTTTTGGTGATCTTGAAATATTACTTTTGCCATGATTTTTGTTTGCATGAGTGTGTGCTATACGTGTTTTTGGCACTAATTATAATACATTTTCGGTTTTGTTTATAGCTAATTTTTCTTTAGGTAGTAAACTCTGTGAAGTTTTAAAAATGTCATATTCAGCCGAAATTTTAATGTGAATGATGTGCCAACTTTTTGTTTCAATAAAATCACAAGCTGTTTTTTTTAATCAAAGAATTTTTTGTGTGTAAATAAATTGCTGTGTGTTTTTCAGACATATTCAGCACATTGGTTTCGATCCTAGTACCGGGTTTGATGTAAGTATGTTTCATTATTTATAACGTGGATGTAAAAGTAACTGTCAAATTAATATCATAAGTTGAGTTAAATACAACTTTGTAATATTTATAGGAATGTGTCTTTCTTAGACCGTCAATTTTAGAGATTGTTCTTCAAAATCATTATTTTCAAAATTAAATTTTATAGATTTTTATTATTATTTCTATGTACTTGCATTATTATAAAATAAAATTTTATATACGCATTAATTTGTTGTAGAATGTTTCAGCTCTTTAATGTAATCAGAAGCCTGTGAATCTATGAATTGAGAGGTCCCAGAATGAAACCACAATTTGAAGCTGAATGCTCTCTCCAGTTTCAGCTGTAGGGATGTTAGACCTACGACAGTTAATTCTGCTATAGTACAGAGTAGCCACACGACTGACTAGTTCTTCTCTCTTTGGTCAATAGGCCTGACATGACTAGGTGGTTAGAGTGCTCGACTTGAAATCTGCGGGTCGCGGGTTCAAATCCCCGTCTCACCAAACATGCTCACCCTTTCAGCCATGGAGATGGTATAATGTGATGGTCAATTCCACTATTCGTTGGTAGAAGAGTAGCCCAAGAGTTGGTGGTGGGTTGTGACGACTAGCTGCCTTCCTTCTAGTCTCTCACTGCTAAATTAGGGATGGCTAGTGGCTATGTAGCTATGTGCGAACTTCCAAACAAACCAAACCCTTTGGTCTGCAGCTATAAATTTTAGATGGTTATTCATGAATCTTTGGGGTCTTTGTGTAGCCCATTTTTTAAACGTAGGAATGTACCAGATATAGAAGTGAATGCTTCATCATGTGGAAAAGTTTAAAATTTGATACTGTGACATTTTGAAATGTACACAATACAATCAATAGCAGATTGTAGGTTTGTTTAGTTTACTGATTGCATATCATTAAATTATAATAGATTTGTTAGCCTTGAAATACATGTGTATGCAGTGAATTGGAGATGAAGTTTAAGTTACAACAGTCTTGTGTAATATTTGCAATTTCAAAAGTGCTAATGACCAAGTTTTCACATCTTAGTTTCTTTAGCAGTATACTTGCCTTTCTGTGAAGTAATTAGTATCATTAGCAATAAATATTATTCTTGTCAATCTAAATAATAAAATTCAGTCCCTCTGTGTGTGTGTGTCACGTAACTCCTCCTAAACTGCTGGACTCACCAACTTCTAAGTGGTGCCAAACAAATCATCTCTGTCCTTAGGAAATATGGGTATTTTATGAAAACACTTTTACAGGGATTCCCTCAAAAGTGAACCCCAGATTTGTCATTGATTTACATTAGAGCATGTAAATAAGTAGGCTTACTAATTACCGTTCGTAACTTGGTTAAAGAAATTAAACTTGCATTATAGTGGCACTGATCATTAAACTGAAAAAGTAGAAAATGGGAGTTCAAGGTTGTTTGTGTGTGTGTCACGTAACAGCTTCTAAACCACTTTTCACATCAACTTCTAAATTGGTACCAAATCTTGGTCATGAGGTTTGGACAAAGTTACAAAATTTTCACCCAGAGATTTCCTGAAAACCTCTTCTCCTAAACTGCTGGACTCACCAACTTCTAAGTGGTGCCAAACAAATCATCTCTGTCCTTAGGTTTGCACAAACGTAACACTTTTCACCCAACCTCTTAGGAAATATGGGTATTTTATGAAAACACTTTTACAGGGATTCCCCCAAAAGTGAACCCCAGATTTGGCATTGATTTACATTAGAGCATGTAAATAAGTATGCCTACTAATTACTGTCTGTAACCTGGTTAAAGAAATTAAATTGACATTATAGTGGCCCTATAAGTGTGGACTATAGGCCCACAGGTTCTGTGGTATAAATATAAGTTTTGGTAATTCTGAGCTATTGTGCTTTATTATGTAAATAATTAATGACTCATATAAAGACACAATTTTGAAAGCTTCAAAACACTTCATTGTAAAAACTGGACAAAAATCATGTGCTAGTCATTTTTATGGTTTAGACTGTTTGTGAAAAGTTTTTGTACAAATCCCCTGTAGGTAGAGTATAATATTGTAGTTTGAGGATGGGAACCAGAACTCGAAGAAATCTGTATGTAGTATTGGTCAAATTCAATGACGAGGAACCCACTTTGAGAATAATAATGGTTGGAGACGCTTGAATGGGTAATGAAGAAAAACTTTAATATAAGTTTAACATAACAGCAAATGTACAACGTTTCGACCTGATGATGACAAAACCTTGCAAGTTTTCTTCATTACCCATTCAAGCCGTCTCCAACCATTAGTAGTATTGGTCAGTTATATTAGAAAATTATTTTACAAAAAAAGTTAATATCTATTAATAAACCAAGAAAAAAATAGAAATATAAACTATTATATTGAGATGTAAAATAATAAAAAAATAGTGCAGTATGTGTGTATTTTAAACTAGTTTTTAAAACATATACGTGTTGGTTGGCAACTTACAGCTAGATGGTAATGTCGACGAAAATCTTAAGGAATTCTTCAGTATAGCTGGAGTTTCAGAAAAGGATCTTCAAGACAATGATACACGTACATTTATCTATGACTTCATCGAAAAACATGGTGGCATAGATGCAGTTCGAGCTGTCAACCAACCTAATCCACCGTCAAGTAAGTAACTTAGTTGTTCTGTGAGTATTTATTAATTTGTCTGTGGTATGTATACTTGTATCTACAAATACTTAGTGTAGGTATAGATGAATTCTTATTAGAAGTAAGTACAATAAAATAAATGTGTAGTTATTATTCACCTTCTGTGTATATTTTGAACTATGATTATACATAATACTTAACAATCTTGCTTTGTAAGCCATAATCAAATACTACAATTCTCTTTTATAGGTGTACCCCCTCCTGTTCCTGCACGGGATCCATCAAGCACACCAACTCTATCTAGACCACCAGCTCCACCAGTTCTGTCAAGTAACTCCCTAACTCCGTCTATGCACTCTGTTACCTCCTCTCCTTCTCTTACTAGAAGTATGGGAGCACCCCCTCCACCACCAAGCAGAACACCATCAGGCCCCAAACCTCCTCCAGCTATATCCAAACCTCCACCTCTTCCAAGTTCTGCTCCTCCTCCTCCAAGTTCTGCTCCCCCTCCACCCCCATCCTTAGCTGCAGCTCCTCCACCACCCCCTCCTCCACCACCACCACCCCCTCCTCCTCCAAGCCTTCCGATCAATGGTACACATGAAGGAGGTGGTAGACTACCCCAATCTAGTGACTCTCGAAATGCCCTTTTAGATGAGATAAAGAAAGGAAAAAGTTTACAGGTGAATTTTGTATACATTACCTTAAGGATTTGATAATATTGAATTATTATTAAATGCTTGCAAATAAACTTTTAGAATTTAATTAAAATGTGTAATAATAATTCTGCTTCATCGTTTTTGCCATCATACAATGTTTAATTAACCTTAATATAAGAGATTTTACTGTTTAATCTATACCAACATCGTTATTGTTGTACAGTCGCAAATCAACTTTCAAAATTTAATTTAAATATATAATTCTAGTTTAACAAATACTTACTCAAAAATATTGCAGAAGACATATTTACATCACGTAATGATTATCTACTGTATTTCTTAAATAAAAATTGAAAACTATCCAAACTTATTTTTGTCATGTCTCCAGGTGTTTGGGCCATGCGTTTCCTCCTCGTTATCTTGCTCAGACTGTAACCCTGAGGGCTCATTTTTTATGTCCCATTGCCACAAATATATATATATATTATGCACTGTGGGAGTGTCAGTGTGCTGTAAGCATGATGGTCAAATCCCATTATTCAGTCATTCAAGAGTTAGTTATGTGTGCCTTTGACCAACTGTCTTCTCTCTAGTCTCTCAGTTCAAAATTAGGGATGGCTATATGTAGATAGTCCTTGGGTAGTATTTTTGGGAAAATTCTAATACAGTACAAATACCCAGAATATAGGTGTCTAAACCATGAACATGCCAATTAGTCTTTTTTTTGTTATTAATTTTTCTGCTGGATTCTTAACTAATATTTATTTCTTCCAGTCAGACTTTAGCATTTTCAATTAGCTTGAAATTTGTTTTATGTTTCTGCACTTTTCGAACTACAAACTCATTGGTTGAACCCACATTTACTTGACTGCCCAGAGAAGCATTGAGAAGTTTGAATTCTCCTTAGCTTTAAAAAAAGGGGGGGTAGAGTATAAAGCCAGTAACCAACATAAAGGGATGAAGCTAAGGTTTAATGCTATGTAATATAAATTACAATAGTACTAAATTAGTTACACTATTCTAAAGTGATGAGGTTTTGGGCAGTCAACGATACTGAGCTGTTTCAAAACTTTGTTTTGAAATATCTCTCAAGTAATTATAGGATTACAATTTTTCTATAATTTCTCATAATGTTCTTTTTGTGTTATGTCTGTCTGAAAGCTATCAGTATCTTCATTTGTAACAAAACATCAGGTAAGGAGAGGTCGAGTTAATATAGTAAGCTAAGACCTGCGATGGCAAACTGTTCGATTAATGGATAATCATTTGTTTTTTATACTGAATATATTGATAAGTTTTTATCGTGTTTAAATAACAAATACAAGAGTTTCTAGGTTGTTGAAAGAAACTATATTTTTTTAAATATTAAATTTATTTCACCCACAAATATTATTGACAGAATATCACATTACAAATGTGAGGTACGTATTCTTTGGTGTTTGTGTTGTTCACAGCAGGAAGTTGACTGTTTTAATCAGAAAAGTAAAATATCAAAGAAAGTATATTTTTTTGAATATAAATTTATTTCACCCACAAATATTATTGACAAAATATCACCTTACAAACATAATAGCGTTAAACTATTTAAAGGTGAGGTATGTATTCATTGGTGAATCTTTACCAGTTGTACAGTATTTGTGTTATTTATAGCAGGAGGTCACTGTTTTAATCAGAAAAGAAAAGTATGAAAGAAATATATTTATGAATATCAAATAACTTAAAATGTATTGGATACTTAAAATGGAACTTCCTAATAAATAATTTAGAAAAATAAGATGAAAGAAAGTATTTTTGTTGTATTTTACGACAAAACTGCTGATATTTCCTTTCTGAAAAAATTATACAGATGTTAAATTAAGTTGTTGACATTGAATGCAAAAAAAAAAAAACAAGGCTTGTTATTTAAAAAGTTTCTACCAAGGTTTGTGCAATTTGGTTTAAGTATTTTTCACTGTTAGAATGGTAAGAATAGAGACACCTGGTTTGAAAAAGGTTAACAAAATGAAAACAAAGAATTACTTTCTTATAATATAGATTGTATTAGGTATTTTTTTTCGGACTATTTTTTTTTTGATAGCTTCAGAAATTATTATCTTTTTTTCAGCATGTCGACAGTGATTCAGAGTCTGCGAAGAGTAGCAGTAATAGTCGAGGTGCTTTGTTGGATCAAATCAGACAGGGTATTGAACTGAAATCCGTAAGTAAATACTTTATTTTGTATGCTGTTCACTTTATTTGTAGAAGAGAGGTTATTGATATTGATTACACTTTATTGAATCAGATTTGAGGGAGTATTTGAGCAAAAATCTGATAAGAGAGATTAGTACATTATTTATTCTTTGTTGGATAAGACCAGATCTAATAATGAGTCTGGCCTCCATAGGGAATTGAGACTCTTTGCATGATTTGCCGAATATGTTGTCCCAAATTTTGGGGGGACACTGTTGTGTTATGTCATATGAAGTAGGATAATGAATGAAAACTTGTTAGTGTCCACTCTTTTTCGTTGAGTTAAAAAATTGAATACATATAACTGTTTTCCAAAGGTCATCATTTCTAGATGTGACAATAAAACAAAAATGTGAGTGGAATTAAATACTGAAATAAATGCATTTTATACAGTAAAAGGAAAGGATGTTCCTATGGATTGTTTTCAAATGGTGGTTGAAAAATTTGGATCCAACACACCAAGAAATATTATTTCAAAATTTGAAAAATGCTATATAAATTACTGATGAAATCTATATAGCCTTCATACAGGTTTGTTGATTTAGTGCCATCTTTAAATATTTTTTATGATATTAATGTAAAATTATTTTTTTTCCAATTTCCATATTTTGAAAATATTACTGTTAACTATTTCATTTATATTTTAAGAATGATCAGAATGTAACTATAAAATTTAAGTTTATTTTTGTCCCATAACAAATATAACTTGTATAGATCCATTACAAATTGAGGTTTTTATAACATGTCATGTGATTAGGTATGCAACTTTTACAGTTACTTTATTACGATGTAAAGTTTATTTAGTTACTCTAAGAAAACCTTCTGGAATAGTTATTGAAAATAACTGTCCTTCCCAAGGTTACCGAACAACCAAAATCTAGTTCTTCTCCGTCAATTCCACTGGAAGGTCTTGCAGGAGCTTTGGCTCGAGCCTTACATGAGAGATCAAGGGCAATTCACCAAACAGGTTAGCATCGTCAATTGGTTGGTATATTTTATAAACTATGTACCACCAGTTTGAGTTCTTTCTGGGTTTTTAAGTATCGGCAAATTTAAATTTTATTATATTTTGCACCAATTATAACTATTCATATCACAAAAACTATTAGGTCATTTTGTTTTTTGTAGAACAAATAGTACAATAAATTTAGGAGATTTGGAAACAGACCACAGATCTGGGAAATTTTGATAGTTTCTTAGACATTCTATTTATTCCTTAAAATGTATTTGTGTTAAATTATAGTTTAAACCTATGGAAATTTTCTTTTAGGACAAGACATCAGGTAAGCCTAATTAGGTTTAGAGAATATCATAGAGACAGCAAAATATTCTGATGACTAAATCCTTATTTACTGAATATTATTGTTAAGTTTATCATATGTAAACAGTGTAGATAAGCAAAAAAAGCTATTACTTATGAAATATATATATATAAACTAGCCATTAAACACAATATTCCTGTCAAGGTCAAATTCTCTCAAAAACCCGGCCCTAAATTAAAATTGTTTAGAATCACACAATACAAACGTCATTTACAAAATAACATGCAATAACTGCCCAGAATTCTGCATCGGAGAAACAGTAAGAAAATTGTAAACCAGCTTCACAGACCGCAATAAAACTGTTCCACGTTTTCCACCATTGCAACT